TGCCCGAGACCTATGAAAAAAAACAAAAAAAAAACATGTACATATATACATCCCCCCTTCCACATATTTTAATGTTATGTGATTTATCACGTACGGCTTATATGTTTTCTTTACATTGATTATACACTCAGATGAGCAGCGTCCTGGGTAAGACGATAAACTACATCCAGCAGCAAGGCCTATGATCAGGAGGTTTTGAAGAGCGTAGAACCACCTCTTAATTGATGGTGTTTCCAGGTCCAACCTGACCCAGGGTGGTAGCACCAGTTAGGGTCCCAGCTATGGGCAAATAGTTAACTATTGCTAGCAATACTTTTTGAAAAAAAATATTACTAGCAATACCAGAAAGAAAAAAAAATATTTAAAGAAAAATATTACCAGAAACAGATTTTTGACAAAACAAAATATTACCAGCAAGAAAAAATGTTGCCGGTATTAAATAACCCATTGAGATTTATATGCCATAAAACAAAATAAACCAAACCAATCTAAACCAAAGAATACATATTCTATTCATACGAATCTATCCTAAAAATGTTGTCGGCATTAAATAACCCATTGAGGTTGATATGCCGTAAAACAAAATAAACCAATCCAATCTAAACCAAAGAATACATATTCTAATCGTACGAATCTCTCCTAAAAATGTTGTCTGCAATAAATAACCCATTGAGGTGTTGATATGCCGTAAAACAAAATAAACCAAACCAATCTAAACCAAAGAATACATATTCTATTCATAGGAATCTATCCTAAAAATGTCTGCAATAAATAACTCATTGAGGTTGATATATCGTAAAATAAACCAAACCAAACCAAACCAAATGAGCAGTTGCGCACACTGCATTTTTTAAAAAAAATCTTATGGTAATGCATTTATATCCTTTTTGATCGTTGACTTCAAATATTATCGGTATAACAATACTTTTATGGTGCCAAATTTTCCAATATCACTTTCAAGGAACTCCTCTTTAACAGATATATTTTTATGTGATGGTCAGTGTCGGATGTACCTATAGGCTTAACAAGCTGAAGCCTCGGGCCTCAAAATCTAGGGGGATTGCAGGCAAAGTGCATATTTTTGACACAGTCAAAGGACTTTCTTACGTATGCTGTCAGAACTCGTTATGGACTCTAAATAACCCTCCAGTAAATTTAAACACCCGTCATCATCCTCGGCTTCACTAAAATTGGTTAATTTAACACTCCTCCATTTTCTTCTCCTCGTGACAATGGGAAATTTGGATGGGCCTCTCTTCATCTAAATCCGGCTCTGGTGATATCACATATTTATTCAAAGACATTTTGTTTCGAGCATTGAAACACCATGTCATGGTAAAGACACAAAGAAGACTGACTTCATTTCCTATGACCTCTTCAAATTAATGTTGATCAAAATTTTCAGCGTGTTGTTCCCTGTAATACTAACATATCTTCCAATGAATATACTGCTAAATGCTAACAAGTCGATCTTTGTATACTTTCGGTATTAGGATCAAACAATCAATTTATTATTATTTTTTTTTTAATTTTATTTCCATTGATTTCTGGTGTGTACTCATTTCTTTCGCGGTCCCGACTAGAGACTTAAGGTCAGAAATGGCGTCATGACATTTTCCACCGAGCAACTTTAAAAAAAAAAATCAAAAATATTTTACATAGATAAATCCCTTTGTAAAGCGTGTACTGTACTTGTGAGAACAATGTTTTTGCATTTCTTTTAGGTATGGAGTACCAGGAATCCTTTCAATGAGTTTATTGGAAGATTGAGAGCTCCAACCAAAACTGGAATTGTTGATGTTCTCATGTACCACATTTCTGAGATTTCGATTCCAAGGTTCTTGTATTTTGGTAGCTTTTTAAAGATCTTCAAAGATGCATTACATTCTTCAGGGATTGCAATGTCAATAAGAAGGTACATTTTGTCTTTGCGGTCTCTAAACACAATGTCTGGGCGATTAGCTTTGATTGTTCTGTGTGTATTGTGAAGTCCCATAAAATTGTTACAGGTCCTATCTCCGTACCCGGCTCTGTGTGATGTTCATACCAGTTTCTTGCAGTTTCCTTTCCGTAGAAGTTGAAGATTTTTCCAATGCAGATATTGACCCACTCTGTCATGCCGAGTCAGCTGGGTGCCAATACCGCGCAACCTGATACAAGATGGTCATTTGTTACAAGATATGTATCACATAATTTTTCCGTATGGGTTCTTGATAATTCTTAGTAGTAGTAGTTGTTGTAGTAGAAGTAGTGCTAGTAGCAGTATTGATTGATTTAATTGTTTTTCATGGTTGATAAAATATTTGCAGGTTATATAAAACTAGATTTTTGGAGACTGTATTTGATTTTGAGATAATATTGACTTGCTAATGCAACTACTTCTAATTAACCCATAGCTGGGGGTAGAAAAGATGAATTCATTACCTTTCCTAAGTGTATTTGCACGTAAGTGAATATAATGGATTCGACTGGAATTCGAACTCGGCTCTCCGATTTCCAGTTTAACCGTTATCCATTACGCCATCCGCACATATATATAGGAGGGGAATTATCGAATAAGTTGTTTATTGAGTTTGAAATTATAGATTTTAAACGACATTTTTTTAAATATATTCCCATATCTAAGTAGACGAACCGTTTATTTATTTATTAAACAGGATATTTAAAATCCATTATATCTTTATAAATGGTTTTATTTATGTGAAGTCTAAGAAGATTTTTGCATTTTTTTGGTTTAATGTGTATTTAATGTATCTCAGGAAGACTTGTATTTAGTATAATATATAAATCCATTGTGGTGTTTAACTTGTTTCATTGAAAATAACTCTTTTAGGATGAGAAATAAAAATTTTTGAGGCTGGCCAAATACCTTTGATTGGTAGTCTATATGCGAAACTGGTAGGGTTTTGTTAGAATCTTTTTCTGGAAACTGGTAGGGTTTATTTAGAATATTTTTCTGGAAACTGGAAGGGTTTAGTTAGATACCCTTTTCTGGAAACTGGTAGAGTTTTGCTAGAATCTTTTTCTCGAAGCTGGTAGGTTTTTGTTAGAATCTTTTTCTGGAAACTGGTAGGGTTTATTTAGAATATTTTTCTGGAAACTGGAAGGGTTTAGTTAGATACCCTTTTCTGGAAACTGGTAGAGTTTTGCTAGAATCATTTTCTGGAAACTGGTAGGGTTTAGGTAGAATCTTTTTCTGGAAACTGGTAGGCTTTTGTTAGAATCTTTTTCTGGAAACTGTTAGGGTTTATTTAGAATCTTTTATGGAAACTGGAAGGGTTTAGTTAGAATCCTTTTCTGGAAACTGGTAGAGTTTTGCTAGAATCTTTTTCTCGAAGCTGGTAGGTTTTTGTTAGAATCTTTTTCTGGAAACTGGTAGGCTTTTGTTAGAGTAATTTTCCGGAAACTGGTTGGCATTTGTTAGACTCTTTTTCTGGAAACTGGTAGAGGTTTGTTAGAATCTTTTTTTCAGGAAACTGGTAGGCTTTTGTTAGACTCTTTTTCTCGAAACTGGTAGGGTTTAATAAGAATCTTTTTCTAGAAATTGGTAGGGTTTTGTTAGAATATTTTCTGGAAACAGGTAGGGTTTTGTTAGAAACTTTTTTTGGAATCTGGTAGGGTTTTGTTAGAAACGTTTTCTGGAATCTGGTAGGGTTTTGTTAGACTATTTTTCTGAAAACTAGTAGAGCTGTGTTAGAATCTTTTTTCTGGAAGCTCGTAGGATTTTGTTACAATCTTTTTCTGCTCGTGTACTGTGGATTCGACAGTGGTTCCAATAAGAAGTTTTCTTCTTTTATGCACCGTGTATCTTCAGGACGTGAATAATCATGGTTCTCCAAATCCTCCTATATATTTTAGCCCGTGTTCTGCTATCGTTAGATAGTTTCCTTATAGTTTCCCCCCGCCATCTTGCCTTCAAGATGACAGTAGGGTGGCAACCTCTCCAAGTCCTCTCCCCACACCGTGTGTTTTAAAAATTTCAACTGCTTCTTCTTGATTATAAATATAAGCGTTTACAATTTCCTGAAAACTTCCTCGTTGCTGACATGTTCCATCCATGCTATTCTCAGTCACTTTTTCTAGAAGCACGTCTCTGTTGCCTCGAGTCTCTTCTGCATCTGTGGCGATCCACTGTCATATATGAGGGCCGATGCTGTATAGAACTTACGTCATGAATCGTGCAGGAAACAAGAGACTCGAATTCGAATCTCAACATGGCCGAGGAAGATGCCTTCTTGATGTCTTGATGAGACCATCCCGGCGCAGAGCAGCTTTGTAAAATGCCTGGAAAACAGACTACAGATTGACTCACGCCTTGTGAGTGATGTCGGTTAGATGGAACTTCGTCGATAGTTCTGCTAGCACAAAGTCACAAGTCACCGTGGCCGAGAGTTTAAGAGTACTGGCCTTGTTCTAATCTTCTAATATCTTTTATTTTAAAACTGTGTTTAACTTTTAAAAGATATAATTATATTTCGAAATACTTGTCCTTGTACCAGACTTGTCTGGACGTAATAAATTTCCATAAAAAGAAACCGAAAGATATTTTTAACTATCGATAATTTACGTGTTTTATTTGTAGTTTCAAGGCTGCATGAGTTTAATAACTTTGTAATTTTTTTTTGCAAATTGTTGTTTCGAAATGTCGCCAATAGGAATAAAAATAAGCAGATATATTTAGATTCTTCGATAGATCGATTTTTCCTGCTCCAACTGTGAGAAGTTTGATGTCTTAATTTTGCATTTAATTGTTTTTTTTTTACACGTCAGAATATGTCAGTCTCCAATATGAAGCTGACGAAAATGTATTCGGTGTTCAAAATGACTCCACGCGAAAAGAAAGAAAGTAAGACAATGAATGAGAGAGAAGAAAGCGGGAGACTGAAACAAGGAATGAAAGAGAGAGGGAGAGAGTTATAAAAAATTATAAAGAGTGCGGATGAAATAAAGAAAGAAAGAAGGACGATAGGAAAAACCGTGAGTGAAATGAAACTGAGGAATTAAGAAAGATAGAAAGAAAGAAAGAAAGAAAGAAAGAAAGAAAGAAAGAAAGAAAGAAAGTATAAGGGATGACGAGAGTAAAGACGGTAGGTGACAAAGTGAGAAGAATTTAGAAAAATGAAAGAGAGAAAGAAAGATAAGAAATGCGAGAGAAGAAAGTTATTGATAAAAAGAGAGTGATAAAAATGATAGTGCGAAAAAAAGAAAGAAAGAAAGAAAGAAAGAAAGAAGAGAGGGAAAATCTAGGTGAAAAAAGGGGAATTAAGAAAGAAAGAAAATATAAATGATGACAAGAGGAAATACGGTAGGTGAAAGAAAGTGAGAGGAATTTAGAAAAAGAAAGAAAGAAAGGACTGATAAAACAGAAAAAAAGAACGTACAAGTAGATAGATAGATAGATAGATAGATAGATAGATAGATAGATAGATAGATAGATAGATAATGAACTACGGTAGATAGATAGATAGATAGATAGATAGATAGATAGATAGATAGATAGATAGATAATGAACCGTAATAGATAGATAGATAATGAACCACGCTAGATAGAGAGATAGATAGATAGATAGATAGATAGATAGATAGATAGATGATGAACCATAATAGATAGATAGATAGATAGATAGATAGATAGATAGATAATGAACCATACTAGATAGATTGAAAATGAACCGTAATAGATAGATAGATAGATAGAGAGAGAGAGAGAGACAGAGAGACAGAGAGAGACAGAGAGACAGAGAGAGAGAAAGAGAGAGAGAGAGGGGGGTAGGAAGAGCAAAAATAAAATAGAATAAAAAACGAAAGCACAGAGAGGAAGAAAAGGAGAAAGATGAAGATAGAAAAGGAAAGCCATTTGTAATACACTGAGATCATGGTAACATAATCGAAGGTGACAATTGTAATTCCAGTTAGCAATATACAAAACACTTTCTTTTTTCATTTGAAATATTGGAAGCTTGCCAGCGAAATTCGTTGTTGTTTCCATAATTAAAAAAAAAAGAAAACAAATCCATGGCCATTTGCGTGATCTTTCTCACCAATGTTTTGCGTGTATTTCAAGTTAAATGCGTTGTATACGCAATTACATATCGACTGGTATAAAGTTAGCATTAGTAATGGCAGTAACAAAAGTAGATACAACCGCCTGCCTTAGAGTCATTCAAATTGTAACTGCGATCATCAAGGGCTATATTATTATTATTATTATTATTATTATTTCGTAGATCAGAAGAGTTTTAGCGAGTGCTCGCACCCACAATCACACACACATTCTTATATATAACAATATCTGATCGCTTCTTTACGAGTATGCCAGTCTGCTAGAGTGGTTTAGCCATCTTTATTGCAGACGAACGCTCAGCCACAGATTGGTTTCTTAGGCACCCACAGAGCTTCATTCTGTTTTAGACGAAACAGGTTTTAGTTACATGTTTTATGGGAAGAGCCCATTATCTGCCGTGATTAGTAGTTTGAACAAGGCCAGTACTCTTAAACTCTCGGCCACGGTTTTTGAGACTTTTTGTTAGCAGAACCATCGACAAAGTTCCATCTAACCGACATCAGTCACAAGGCATGGGTCAATCTGTAGTCTGGTTTCCAGGCATTTTACAAAGATGCTGTGCACCAGGATCGTCTCCGCAATACATCAAGAAGACTTCTTCCTCGGCCATGTTGAGATTCGAATTCGAGTCTCTTTTTCATGCACGATTCGGACAAGAATGAAACTCAGAGTAATGCTACTGGTGAAGATTAGAATGTATATTTATCAGTAGTCTGAATTTTAGACGCGTTATTATATTATGAATACGGTTTTATTAACATCAGCACTCATAGTGTGATACTATATATATATATTATTATTAATAGAATTCTTATAAGGATAAGAAATCTTATAAGTATAAGAAACTATACTCGTTCGGAAAACCTTCGGTGTCTTGATTTGCAAATAATCAAACCAATACCAAAAGAAAAAAAAAAGGTATAAAAAAGAAAGAACCAAGAACATGTACGTTAACCGAAAACAACCAAACAAAACAAAAAACCAAAAAAACTTCCAACATATTACTCTAATAACCAGCTTTTCTTATGTCGGCATCTACTAAGAATTTCTGATTTTTGGTTTAATAAATTTTTGAGTTCTTTACGCGTGACGATAGTTTAATTTAAAATTTATCGCCTGCCTTATATTGATAACATTTTTTTTTAATATTTCCCATTTTAAAAAGGGATCATTATTGTCTTCCTGTTCAATCATCCATATATAAGTGGACAGGGTTGTACTATGTTTATAGGTTTCGTGTTTGAAACTTCTGAGGTGGTTATAATAACGTTTTTTTTTTAAACTACTCTGGGTAGAACCTATATAAACTTTAGGATTCTTATAAGAACTATTAAATTTATTTCTATATATCTTTACCTGGTAGACGACGCACTCTTGTTGGCACTTGCCCTCAAGAGGGCATTCGTCCTTTTATCTACAGTTACACTTCGTGGGGCCGGTGTTTGGTTTGTCCTTGATTTTTTTCCTATAATACTTTTTTTTTTTTTCCTTTGAACTTGGACCACAAGCACTTTACCAGAGGATTCGTACAGTCTTATGTTCTGGGTTTTTATATATTTATTTATTTTTTTTTTTATTTCCAATTTTTCCCCGGACATCAATTTTTTATATTACAAGTTTAGCTAATCGAGGTTTTTCAAAACGAGTATTACCATTCATATTATATATATATGTGTGTGTGTCTGTGTGTGTCTGTGTGTGCGTGCGTGTTTTTTTAGATATCCTTCTTTCATGCACATTTCATTGAATACAACAGACAAGGTGCTTTGATTTAGTTTTTTAAACAATTTCTCATGCGATCTAATTTTTTTTCAGATGATAAATTATAAAAAATCTGTCCGAATGTTCTTTTAATCCGAGCGTTTTCGGCTATGCATTTAGCCATTTTCAAGGATGAAATATTTTAACTGTTAAATAAGAAATAGTTTGTGGCGTGTATGTATTTATATAATGTTTTCATTTTTCAAAACACGGTCAAGATATTATGTCCATGTTCATAGTTGATATTATTATTTTTTTGCTTTTATTAAGAAAAGAAAAAAAAAAGTGAACAACACTTAATCATATCAACTATACTGACCCTGTATTGAAAGGTGAAAACATTATATGGCGGGCGATAGAGCGATTTCAACTGACGAAAACCACGTCAGTCTTATTCAACCACGGCGAAAAAAAAATTAACTTTGACAACCGTCGAAAAATTGATACATAATTTATCCATTTCGATGTTTCAGTCAAAGAAAATGCTCGAGACGGTGGTCAGAGGAGGATGGCAAGTATTAGCCTTAAAAGAAAAGAGGTTCTATAAAATTAAACCCGGATATTAACCTTATGACATTAAATTAGGGTTATATGAAAAATGAATTGTTATTTGAAACTAAAATGGGCCCGAAAAGGGAGCTTTTATAAATTTTATATATATATATATATATATATATATATATATATATATATATATATATATATAAAAGTAGGTTTCTTCTTAAAAAATAATAAATTATACTTAAAAATCAGATATATTAAAACATTAAAAAATTATATTTAGATAATTTATATTAAATTAAAGTAAGAATATATCTTAAAAAAATATTAAATAATGAAATATATTTAAAAATAAAAATGTAATAAGATAAAATATATTACATATTTTAACTTTAAAATAAATTATATATTTTAACTTTAGAAATAAGTTAAATCAGATTATATTAAAAATCAAACCGTACAAAGTTATATTTATAAAAAAAAAACCTAAAAAAAGCTTTAAAAAAGGTTTAAAAATATATAGAAAAAGAGGTGTAAGTGATAAAATAAAGAGAGTTCTTAGATCAGAGGAGAATTATAAAATATAATTAACATGGTGTAAAAATGAAAATATAGAAATTATAAATAATTATACATTCGACATTTAAAGAATTAGAGAATTAAAAAGTAGCAAAGTAAAATTGAAGATTTTTTTAAAAGTTTAATCGCAATAGCTTGTCATTCGTTCTCAGGAAAACGCGTGTAAAAGAGGAATTGCTGCCTAAATAGAGAATTATACATATATATATATATATATATATATATATATATATATATATATATATAAAAGTGAACACAGAAGTCAACACTTAGATGCGACAGTTTGTTTCATGCTAGATGCAATCGTCAGGCCTTTTATATTTACACACGCTCTATCTCTGATATTGTGCACTTTATCCCATAAACACCTTAAAACCATATTTCTTCATATTCAGCTCCTGATAAACGGTAGAGCACATTCACTACATTTATAACACATTATGGGCATAGAAAAAATTAGCCTCGACTGCTCCCTAAAAAAAACATACCCACCCCATTCCCTTCCATATATATATACATATATATATATATATATATATATATATATATATATATATATATATATATATATATATATATATATATATATATATATATATACATACCCCAAAATATAGAAGGAAAACTTATTTTAGCGGACGCGTTTCATCCTCTGAGGCACTATATCACCGTTGATAAATTACCCCAGAAACGTATCGGCTAATACTTTTTCCTCTTGTCTCCTTTATTCATATATATATATATATATATATATATATATATATATATATATATATATATATATATATATATATATATATATATATATATAATATTATTAAATCGCATGAGAAATTGTATAAAATTAAATCAAAGCTCCTTGTCTGTCGTATTCAATGAAATATGCATGAAAAATGGATTGTTGCCTAAATACACACAGACACACAAAATATATATATATATATATATATATATATATATATATATATATATATATATATATATATATATATTGTTGAAAATTGTTAAAAATATTGACAACTGTAGTTATTTTGTGCTTATTATAACACATGATCTTTTTTAATAGTCGAAAATCTTCTCCCAAACGTTTTTGCTGCCTCCTGGATAAACTAACCACAGGTCTTGTGTCGTTTCAGACTTTCAACTCGAATGCGTCATCATGGTACATGGAAGGAGAAGAGAAAAGAGCTTTTAGAAGTAAATTTCATCATTATTTTCTTTAATGTGTCATTATTTTGGGGAAATTAAATCGAATGAATTTTATCACATCTCGTCATGCCATGTCACCATCGAATAACTCGTTTGGAATTTTAAATAATTTATTAAGATTTATTGCGTAAAATACACAATTGTGACACAAGTCCGAAAAGTGGGGGGAATGGGATTGAGACTGGTCGTCATTTACTATCCTATACCTAGCTAATCTGGTTCACAATCCATTCATTCGTTACGATTGACACATTCCCCACAAAAACTCATCCATCGCCAATCAATCCTTTATATACTATAACACCGCATACTCTCAGGGACGGACCTAAAAAACGCACCTCATGGCATCAAAATTTCATTTCATGATTATAAAATACTATACATAAAAATTTGTACATGATATAAAATGAGGGGGTAGGGAATGAACCCGAAAAACAAACTAAAATATTAAAAGAAATAAATCAAATATAACTGATGTTAGTTGGATCCTTCCAGTCCTCAAAAAAGTGAGGCTGCTGTATTCTTCCTTATTTTTTATATGTATTTAAGAACGCCATGTCTTAAAGTATAAGGATGATTACGTAGGCTGAATATAAATTGTTTCTATAATCTTAAATATTTATAACAGGTAGAATTATGAAGTATTCTTGCGTTAGTCGAAAGAAGCTGTCTAGTGTCGACTTTAGAAAACATTTGGTTATTTCTAATACAAAAATTTATAAAGCTTCTATAACTCAAGAGAA